TTGGCGAAGGGCGGCAGTCCTCCATCCCAGCCCGGTGAAGGAGCTCGGTAGCATATTTGCGTTGGGAGAGGACGAGAGATGACCCTGTGCGACAAACTTCCAGTCCAAGAAAATAATCCGGAGGACCAAGATGCTTTGTCTGAAATTCCTTGCACATGCTGTCAATAAAACGCTGAACCAAAGTGGCCGAACTCCCTGTGACAATAATATCATCTACATAGACAAGTAAGATAAGAGTACCAGTAGTGCTGTGCATAATAAACAGACTCGTATCATGAACATTTTTCCGAAAACCATATGCAAAGAGGAAGGCCGAGAGTCGGAGATACCAAGCCTGTGGCGCCTGTTTGAGTCCATATAAGGACTTTGTCAATTTACAAACATGTCCAGGAAGGTGTTGGTCAACATAACCCAGTGGTTGAACCATATAAAGATCTTCATTAACCTCACCATGTAAAGAGGCATTAGAAACATCTAGTTGTTGAAGAGGCCACCCATAAGACAGTGCAAGTGTAAAAACAAGACGAATTGTCTGTTGTTTGACAACCGGATTAAAGGTGTCTGAGTAATCCAGACCATACTCCTGAGTGTAACCCTTGGCTACCAAACGTGCCTTATAGCGCGAGACCGACCCATCAGCGTTGCGCTTAATCTTGTATACCCACTTGCACCCAATCGGAGATCGACCCTTAGGTCTGGGAACAAGAACCCATGTGTTCTGTTTAAGCAAAGCGGCATATTCTTCATCCATAGCACGACACCAATACTCATTCTGGGAAGCCTCTCTATAAGTTGCAGGCTCAGTGACAGGAGGAATAGAGGTAGAAGGGGTAAGGGCGTAAAGTTTTGGTTTAAAGATGCCGCATTTAGAACGTGTGATCATGGGGTGGGTTGGTCGAGGGAAGGGGACGTGGGTTGGAGCAGTGCTGGTGGTGGACGAAGGAGTAGGGACAGGGCAGGTGGTGGCCGAAGGAATAGGGACGGGGGTGGGACTGGTTATAGGAAACGTTGGGGTGGAGCGAAGGGTATGGTCAGAAGGATGTGTGGCTGTAGGAGGGGTTACGGTGGATGTTGGGGCCGAAGGTGTGTATGGTTGAGTGGAGAAGCCGGGTGAGACCAGCGGGTTGGTTGTTAACGGCCGGTGAGAGGTGGGTTGTGGGTTAGGGGAAGAGGCCATGTGAGGCGGACTAGACACTAAGGGTTCGGGGAAGATAGGAAGGACACCAAAGTAGGACGATGCAGGGGACGGTGGAGAAGAGTCCTTATATGGGAAAACTGACTCATGGAACTGAGCATGACGTGAAATGTAGACACGATTTGTGGAGGGGTCATAGCATCTGTAACCTTTGGTCAACGACTCATATCCTAGAAAGACACAACGCTTGGAACGAGGTTGTAGCTTGTGATTTGCCTCATGACGAAGATGAGGGTACACAAGACAACCGAAGACGCGGAGATGAGAGTATTCAGGTGGGACGTGATATAGAGCTTCAAACGGAGATTTGTAGTTGAGAGATCGCTTTGGCATACGATTGATACGATAGTTTGCTGTAGCCAAAGCTTCAACCCAGAATGTGGCAGGGAGAGAGGAAGTGTAGAGAAGGGTAAGAAGTGTTTCAATGAGATGTCTATGTTTACGCTCAGCTACTTCATTTTGTTCAGGTGTATAGGGGCAGGTTTTATGATGGAGAACCCCCAATTGTTGTAAAAAATTCCCAAACTTATGATTAACATATTCACAGCCATTATCAGTGCGAAAAATTTTAATGGTTTTGCCAAATTGATTTTGCACCATAAATTGGAAACTTTGAAAAGCACCAAAGGCCTCAGATTTGTGTTTTAGAGGATAAATCCAGCAATATTTAGTATAATCATCCACAAAATTAATATAAAAGTGATAACCACCATTTGATGAAACAGAGGTAGGACCTCAAACATCAGAATGGACTAATTGAAAAGATTCAGTAGTTACAGTAGTAGATAAAGAAAAGGGTAGCTTATGCGACTTGGACACAGAACAAAACTCACAATGAAACAAATCTGACTCTTGACACACACCTAACTTTGAAAAAAGAGACTTGGTAACTTGAAACGACGGATGACCCAGCCGACAATGCCACTGATGAGGCGTTGTTGTCATAGCATTCGCCACAAGAGGAGCTGCAGCGGGTTTGGACGAAGATGAGCCGTGACCAGACACAACAAGAAGGGTGTATAAGCCACGCTCACATGGGCCTCTGTATATCACTTGATTGGAAGAGTTGTCCAGGATCAGAAATTCCTTAGAGGTAAAAAGGATAGAGCAATTATTGTCAGTGGTAAATTTGTGGACAGATAAGAGATGAGTGTTTAGGGTAGGAACGTGAAGGAGATTAGAAATAGTGAAGGTACCTGTAGGTGTAGTAACCTGACCTGAGCCGATATGAGAAATCGGTAAAGATTGCCCCCCAGCTGTGGAGACAGAGTTGGTGCCATAATATGACTGAGGATTTTGCAATCTGGATAAATCAGAAGTCACATGGGTAGATGCTCCAGAGTCTAAGTGCCAATTTGGACCAGGATCTGTAGAGTATGCGGTGTAAAAAGCTTGAGGATTGGTGCCGGCAGAGGAGGAGCCCGAAAATTCTTCATTGAACCTATTCCAACACCGCAAGGCACTATGATTTAGTTTCCCACATATTTGACACACAACAGTAGTGTCACTGGTCTGTCCTCGCCCTCGACCTCCGGTACGGCCGTATGGGCGTGCGCCACTGTTACTGCCACCGTAGCGACCAGCCCCCCTGCCGTTGCGGAAGCGTCCACGGCCTCGCCCCCGTTGGTTGGAGGCATACAATGCGGTTGGAAGATCTGTGGAGGAGCTGGAGGACGAACCGAGTTGAAGCTTCTGTTCTAGTTGGATGTAGAGTTCTTCGGAAAGCAACCATGATGAGATACTATTAAGCGTGACAGTGGCAATATTTGTCCGAACATTCTGTTTGAGAGATGCATATTCGGGAGGAAGACCACGCAATATGTTAAGTATAACATCTTGTTCAGAGACAGGTTCACGAGCAAGGGCAAGAGAGTTAACAATTTGCAGCGCTTCATCAAGGTATTTTTGCATGCTTGATTGCCCTTTTCTGAGATTATGAAGTTGTTCCTTGAGTTGAAAAATATGAGTCCGGGATAACGAATTATACCTTTGATGTAGATGACTCCAAATTTCAGCAGCGGTATTGCAGTGATACACAAGATTCTGAACGACAGGTGAGAGAAGTGCAAGAAGAGAAGCACGTAGTTGAGCATCAATGATGATCCATAGATCGTAGGCAGGATTTGCCTTTAACACAGGCCCTTTGTCGCTGGCAGGGGCCTTTTCATCCAGTATGGTCGGCGATGGCATAACTTCCGTTCCTTCCACAAAGCCGAGAAGCTTATGAGCTTGCAACGTAGCTTTAACGGTTGACGACCATGATGGGTAATTGTTGTCTTCCAGTTTTGTGGGAACNCAGGTGAGAGAAGTGCAAGAAGAGAAGCACGTAGTTGAGCATCAATGATGATCCATAGATCGTAGGCAGGATTTGCCTTTAACACAGGCCCTTTGTCGCTGGCAGGGGCCTTTTCATCCAGTATGGTCGGCGATGGCATAACTTCCGTTCCTTCCACAAAGCCGAGAAGCTTATGAGCTTGCAACGTAGCTTTAACGGTTGACGACCATGATGGGTAATTGTTGTCTTCCAGTTTTGTGGGAACCAGAGAATGAAGATTTCGTAGAAAAAGTTTTAAGCCACTGGGAAGTGAAAGAAACGGATCTGTTTCTTTTGTTGTCATGCTGATGATCGAACACAAACAACAGAGAGAGAGAGACGCTGGCGTGCGTGCGGCGGCGCACGAGAGAGAGAAAACGGGCTAGGGTTGTGGAAGAAGCCTAAGCTCCGATACCATATTGATAAAAGAATAATTGACTTTCATTAATTGAATATGGAGAATACATATGTATATAAATAGGAGGTAGATTCCTAACCTAATTAGGAATCATAATGGTAGCTACCTAAATTACAATATTTCCATAAACAATATTTATACTAATTATGAATGTCTAACAAAAAAAATGACTTTGAACGTATTGAAAAAAACTTTATCACTGCACTTGCTGACTACATTTTCTCTTTTCTATAGGAGTATTTTTCTTATGTTTTCTTTTCTTCCATTTCCTTTTTCTCTTTTTTTTTCTTTTATTTTATTTCTTTTTTTATGCATCATTTTTTGAGGTTCCCAAAAGAAAAGCTTTACTTTTAACAAAAAATAAATTTATTTAATTTCACGAAGATGCAATATATGTTAATTTTTTTCATTTCATTAATTTTTTATTTTAAACAAAAAGAATTTTAAAATTTTAAAACATTATAAAAGACAATTTTAAAAAATACATTTAAAAAATATCTATAGTGAAAGAAAGAAAGAGAGAAAAAAGGAAAAAATCTAAAAAAATAAATGAAAATACATGGACTGAGTTTCAATGCCTCCCGTGGCTCAGAAAATAAGCATCAATGCCCACACTTCACTGAAAAACCGTTGGAAAATTATCAAAGGGGGTTTATGTGCAACATTTTATGATTTTAAAAATAAATTTTAAAAACAAAGGGGGTCTTGGTGTTTTTCACATTGTTCATCTTTTTTTAATTCACAACTTATATGAATTTTGATACAAATTTTTATTTTAAGCAAAAAAAGATGAATAATATAAAAAAATAAAAAAGATTGTAACAATTCAAAAATTAAAGCTAAGCGAATAAAACATTACATTACGAAATACTACATAAATAAAAAGAGAAATTTAACATGCTTAAAGTTTAAATTACAAAAACTAAAAAAAAATAAAAGGAGTGCTTGAAAAATAAAGACTTAAAAAACAAATACTACTGAGTTGTCCTATTTATCATGTCGTGATGGTACTTCAGTTCAAACCCCGACATCCTCAACGTATCCATTGCCATGAGTTTGATGCAATGAACAACGAAGCTAATGCTAGCAAGGTTTTTATTTATGTCCAACACCGGGTTTTCGGGTGGGGTGCCATACTAAGAGTCGTTGTCTTGACCTCCCCCTTCCCATTCTTTGCCGCCTTTGACCGAATCGAGTGGCTCTGACCACTGGGTTCGTTGCCCAATTCATGGGATAGGTCATCCCCCGTGATGTTGAGGTCGATGGAATGTCTGCCCCCGCTCGTTGAGTAGGAACCAGTCTCATAGAGTTTGGATCGCTTCGGTCCCGAACCTTCAGCCATAGCCCCGATGCTGAATTTGGGGCTCCTTTGCAGAATTTCCCGCATTTCCTGGAACATGAAAACCCTCTTCTTCGCTTCATAATAAAGGTCCAACGCATTCGACATAATGTCTTTGGCGGAGGACCCACTAGGCCACGTCTTAAAGACATTTGCATAAAGCCACCAAACTTCTGGACTTCCGGGTGCACACGACTTCAGTTTTTCAAAGCATCTCCCCGCCACGTACTAGCGTACCATTGGGCCTCCTGGCGTTGTACTTCGCCACAACACGCTCCTAGAACATTTTAGATTTCTGGTAGTTACTGACAATGGCGTCCTCCGGCACATCGACATAGTACGTCGCCAATGTCAGACTTTCCATCGGAGTATACTTCTTCGCCCCATCAGTCTTTTGGCATTTCCTTTGCTAATGCCCTCGTTGATGGGCTCCAACTTAGAAACATCATAATTGATCATATTAATGCCCGACAATTAGTAGGGTTGGAGTCTGAGAACGGGGTAAAGTCATCGCCGGGTAAAGAACTGGAGTTTACAAATCGGATGATGACATCGAGTTCAGAATTATCAAAGTTGAAGTTGTTGCTCTTGGAATTCATTTTGAATAATGAAAAAATGGAGAAAAACTGAATTGAGTGAGGTGAAAGTGAATTGAGAGAAATGAAGAATGAGAGTGATGAATTGAAGTCGAAGATGTGTCAAATTGTTGGATTTCAATTCCAAATTTAGCGGCTTATTTTCTCTTTTATTGCAGATAGAATTTTTTTTAAGTATTCTAAATATTCGAGATGCGGTAAAAATATTTCATAGGATACACAAAAAACATGAGACGATCCAGATTTTAAGACAAAGAGAATATGATATTCAAAATTCAAACCCAATAGTATCAAAATACCCATCCCTAATTTTCAAACAACGGATATTGATTAGGCCTAATCCAAAATTACCAAAACCCTATTTTAGCACAAGAAAGGAGTGCCAAGTGCCAACGACTCAAAAAGTGACAGCCACTGTGTGACGGTAAGTCTTAACATAAACCCTGGAGGAGGAGCTGTAGACTGTAATCCCCATTTCTTCGTCTCTAATCTACCTACTTCGTAGTTTTTTTACTGCTCTCAATCATCATTCGCTATATACTACAGTATACTCCTATTCTTTACTCATATATAGTAGACTGTCACTTTCTCTCTCGCGGTCACTTTCTCAATCACCACAATTTTACTGAAAGGGAAGGATTTATACGATTCCGTATGCATTTTTTATATTCATACGGTTCATACCCAAATCATAAAAAAATCAGAGTGGTTGTCTCCTGTATATATTAAAATAAACCCTAATAATGAAATTTTTTCTTCGTTAGCTTGTTCGTTTATCTGGGTTGGTGGTTATTGCTGGACGAGACAACCCACCAGATGTTGCGGCTTTCTGAAGATTCTTAGAGATAGCTAAGGATCGCACTGCAATTTCATACACGAGTCTCGCTTTCAGAGAGGTTACTTCTGCTCTCTTCACATTTTTGATCTGCCTCTCTTCCTCAGGTGCGGTCGAATTATTCACCTGGATCTTTGCTATCCCTTCTGCCCATCTTGTCAGTGTGTGATGTTTTTATTTACTAATCATGGCTGTTAGTTTTTGGCATGAGAGTTGTGAAATTCTGTGGATTTAGTTGGGGTATAGTGTGCATTGAAGAACTGAAGTGTTTTTCGGGTGAATATCAGGTGGAATTTATATTAATGGATTTTTCTTCATTTGCCCTGTATGGAAAAATTGAATCTTGTGCTTTCAGTAGGAATGGGGTGGAGCTGTTTTTTGTTTGTTTGTTTCAGGCTCTCAATTTCTTGGAAAACTTTTGTTCTGTTGATCATAAGGCGTTCCTTGATGCTGTCATTTTGAATTCATATGAGCTTCATTGGGATATTAAGCCCCACATTTGGTGTCGAGATGTTTTATTTGGCTACTTGTTTCAGATCTAAGAATTCTTGTTTTTGGGCTTGTGTGATGCTGTGATCAAATTGCTTTAACAACTTTCATTTTGAATGCCTTGTTTGATTATTGAATATTTAAGGATTTAAACCTCTAAAATTATTCATTTAGAACCCCTCTCAATATTTTTATATTTTCCCTGTTTTACTTTTACTGATCTGGCCTCTCTAACCTTGTAGCCGATATAGGTAGGAGGAAGGGCTGGTTAAATTCACCCTCCCCGTACCCTCTATGCGAGACCTGGGTTGTTCTTGTTGTTGTTGTACTTTTACTGGTTTGGAACTCCGGTGGTTAGGAATATTGGGGGTCGAGTTGGGTGAATTCACTATATTGGCTACTATATCATTCTTTTCATTTGAAGGTTTTATGAAGGTTTCTAATACTCAAAGTTACCTATTGAGTTTGTTTCCTTCCATTGTATTGTTTAAATATTTTCTTTACAAACAATGTAAATGATTACATGGTTCTATATCGGACAGGGATTATTTGTTGGTTTTTCCTTTTGTACTCAATGCTATTTTCATGTTTACTTTTTACGCGTGTATTTCACATTTATTTTGCTTCGTGGCATCTTATGCGCAAATCAGGTAGACAGTTCACTTGGCTGTCAATGCATGCCTTACCAATTTAAAGTTGATTGTCATTTTCTATTCTCACGCTCCTTGCAGTTCACATATTGAACGTCATCACCATAAATGTTTCCCTAATTATATTGCTTTTTCCTTTTTGAGGATAATGGGAGTATGATATTATGCTATGGTACTGTGTGTGCACATTTAAATGTATATACTCTTTCAAGTTTCTTTCTCTCACTTTGTAAGTTGGTGAATTTTCCATGTTCCACGTGTTGTTGTAAGTAGTGAATAGATCATAATTTGTGTGTGGTTGTTTCAAGGTATCTTTGTGGTCCTTTTATCTTTTGTCATGTACTGGTAGTTCATAACACACATATCAAGCAATGTTTATTTTATAGTACATATTTTGTTTTAAAGGCAACCTCATATGATATATTTGCATATACTCTTGCAGAGTGTGCCTCATAAGATAGTGTGATGGGTTCTAGGTTCCCATCTCATCAGCTCAGCAATGGCCTCTATGTGTCCGGCCGGCCTGAGCAGCCAAAAGAAAGAACTCCAACAATGAGTTCAGTGGCTATGCCATATACTGGTGGTGACATAAAGAAGTCTGGAGAACTTGGAAAAATGTTTGACATTCCTGTGGATGGATCTAAGTCAAGAAAATCTGGGTCTATGTCTAATGCTCCTTCAAGAACTCATTCAGGACCCATCAATCCTAATGCTGCTGCCAGGGCCGGTTACTCTTCTGGTCCTTTTTCGTCCACGATGGTGTCTGGTTCGGCCTCAATGAAGAAATCAAATTCTGGGCCTCTAAATAAGCATGGAGAGCCCATGAAGAAGGTATCAGGACCTCAATCTGGGGGAGCAACTGGACGTCAAAATTCGGGCCCCCAACCACCGGTTCTCCCAGCAACTGGTTTGATTACTTCTGGGCCCATATCCTCTGGCCCGCTAAATTCTTCTGGGGGACCAAGAAAGGTCTCTGGGCCATTGGACTCGATGGGCTCTATGAAAATGCATGGTCCCTCTATCGTCAACAACCAAGCTGTGACAACTCTTACCCAACACGATGAGTTCTCATTCAGTAGGAACTTTCCAAAACCTATACTGTGGGCAATGGTTTTGCTATTTCTCATGGGGTTTATCGCCGGAGGGTTTATTCTTGGAGCTGTGCAGAACCCTATACTCCTAATTGTGGTGATTGTTCTGTTTGCCGTTGTTGCAACTCTGTTCATATGGAACTCTTGGTGGGGAAAAAGAGCTATCATGGGTTTCATTGCTCAATATCCAGATGCTGAATTAAGAACTGCAAAAAATGGGCAGTATGTCAAGGTTTCTGGGGTTAGTTCTTTCATCATTTGATAACGAGAAATTCTGTTAGTGTTGTGTCACTAAGTTTTTATCCATTCATGAATATATTTTATGTTTGATTCCTGTAGTTTTTATGTCGCTTAAAGTAGATATATACAGTAAAGCACAATTAGAGATGTCTCACTTTGTCAGATCCATCCCAAATCTTAGGTGATCACACTGATCAGTAAGTGAATGGAGAAAATCAGAAACACAAACACCCAAAATATTTTATCTTTACATTGCCTTTACAGTATGGAAGTGCGCAATTATTCAACCATGAACCATGGTATAATCTCATGATCAGATAAATTTTATATTGGAAAATAGACTTTTGGCGATAGAGAAAGAAAGTAAAAAAATGGGTTGGGATGGAATATACAAGTTTGCATTCTCCCATACTGTCTAGACTCAAAGCTCTTGTCACCTTTTTTACCGCCTCAATTTTCTTCTAAACAACTGCAGTGGTACAGTTGCTGGTATGTGACCTTTGAAGGGAAACCTTGGTCCAGTGGTTAAGCTTGTTTCCCTCTGACCTTAAGGTCACTGCATAGACTATGGAAACAACCTCTTATTATGTATCTGAATTGGACTCACTAGTATCAGCAAATTCTTGCACCAGGTTGCTTTTTCACACACAAAAAAGAAGTATTTTCATAGACTTTTCTCTGAGGTGGTTTGAAGGAATTGAAGGCACTGCACGTTCACCCATACAAATGTACATGGAAATGAATATTAAATGTGCTATATGTTGAGTATTTTTATTTTTATTTTTTACGGAGTAGTATTTTACAACTTGTACTTTTCCAGTAGCTTAATTCAATATTCGTGAAGTTATTATGCCTTGTCATCTTTGTGAAGGTGGTGACTTGCGGAAATGTTCCTCTAGAGTCGTCTTTCCAGAAGGTTCCTAGGTGCGTGTATACATCTACAAGTTTATATGAGTATCGAGGTTGGGATTCAAAAGCTGCAAATCCTACACATCGCCGATTTACATGGGGGGTTAGATCTTCTGAAGTGAGTTGATTCGTATCTTTATCAGCTATTGTTTTTTTGTCTAAATTTAAAAATAAATCTGAAGTAGCCTAGCCTATTATCTTTAAAAAAAAGTAGAACTTGGGGTATAAAAGACCTTGTCATGTTCTTGATGATAACCAAGAGCTAAAAAGTTTGGAACTCCACTGTTGCCATGCTTGCAGAGGCATGTAGTCGACTTCTACATATCCGATTTTCAGTCTGGGTTGAGGGCACTTGTTAAGACAGGCTATGGGGCAAAAACCACCGCGTATGTGGAGGAGTCCGTGGTTGTTGATGTCAATCCCTTGAACAAAGAGCCATCTTCCGAATTCATAAGGTGGTTAGGGGAGAGGAATCTTTCAAGTGATGATCGCACAATGCGGTTGAAGGAAGGGTATACTTTTTTTTGCTCCCCTCTTCTTGTCTCTTCTTTCTCTTTTCCTCTATGGAGGAAATTGGTTTCACTATATGTGTGTGTGTGTGTGTGTGTGTCCCCGATGTACTTTATATTTCAAAGTGTGTGTCTGGGTGCGGCATGCAGGTATATAAAGGAAGGAAGCACGGTGAGTGTAATGGGGGTGGTGCAAAGGAACGAAAACGTGCTGATGATTGTGCCGCCACCCGAACCGTTCACAACCGGTTGCCAGTGGTTGAAATGCATTTTCCCGGCCAGCCTTGACGGCATTGTGCTGAGATATGAGGATGCTTCAAAGACAGACGTGATACCGGTGTGACATCAGCGCCCCACCAGTAGGTTATCATGTGCTTTCTTTCATTGATTCATTTTTCTTCAGGTTTTCATGCTACTATTACTACTACTACTACTGTTACTACTACTAAGCCTACTGAAAGATAGTGAGTTTCGTGGAGATTGCGCAGTATAGATGATGGAGGCGACAATGCAAATCTGAGTGATCGCCCGCCCGTATTTGGATACATATAGTTTGATTGATATCTAATTTTCTGTATAGTTTATTAGGTTTTTTTTCTTTCTTTTTCTTGCAAGGATATTATTGATGGCTACGAGTGGTGTTTTGGGAATCAAAGTTTTTTTCCATGCTCTGACTGTGTGTGTGGGAACAAAACCTTTGAGTTGGTTCTTTTGTATCATATATGAGAAGATTGATCCTTTGGTTTTTTTAGATTCAGTGCTAGTTTGTTTGTTTGAGGAGGTTAATATAATATGATGTCCATTTGTGACAAACTTGTCTTCCCACTCCCCTATATAATGGAGTAATCAACTCTATGGATATGAGTCTTCTAAAAGGTGTGAACATTTGGNTTTGGAGTTTGTTATATACTCCGTATATAAGCTATACTCCCTCTTTCCGGTTTGACTTCCAATTTTGCCCCTCCATTAAAACTTTGAAATAAAAACTAAGGCATTTCATTCCCTTCCGACTTCTGAGTACTCGCTGAAAAATTCCCATTGATGCTGGGAAAGCTCAAATCTTTAACCCACATGGAAATAGGATACAACTCATACCAAGGAATTATCCCGTGGTAATTTGGTAATTTGAGAAAGATTCGGACATTTCTAGGGCAAATCTCACCAGTCCCATTTCGAATGAGGTTGGAAATCCAACAAAACTAACTTCAATCTTCATGTTTGGTTATCTTCTTGATGGATTCATCCCAGATGAAGTAGGAAACACCACTTCTCCCGAAAGTTTGGATCTTTCTGTGAATATCCTCTCCAGCGAAATCCATATGAAGGGTGTGAAGAATAGATCTAGGATTTTGTGGGAGAGGGAAGTTACAGAGAGAGCGAGAGAAGGAGAGACGGAGAAAGGTCGAGAAGGACAAACAGAGAAAGGGG